CTGAAATCCACAAAAGTTTCAAGCTTGTCACACTTGGGAATAAGGACAAGAATCGTCTTGTTTAACTCCGGTTCAATAGGATTACCGGAAAAAAATACCTTGAATTATACGATAGATAGAGGCACCAACAATAGGCCACTGCTTGTGAAAGAATTCTGCATGTAAACCATCCCAACCCGGGGATTTTAAAGAGACCGTGTCCATGAGAGCATTATAGATTTCCTCATTAAAAGGAATGGTGTCAAGGCAATGAAGCATATGAGTAGGAATAGTGTCACACCCCAAAATTTTAATAATTTTAAGTATCGAATTAAGGTTGTGACAAAGGAAAGGTTAGGGGATCAAATTACAAATTTCTAAATGTTGTACCTCTATTTTGAAACCTTTGGAAAGTTTAGGGTCTTGAACCCAAATTTGCTCATTTTTATTATTCAATGAAAATTTAACCCCTAACCGAGTAACATTTCTGCCTAAATTAAACCCTAAATCCCTAAACCCCAAATTCATTCTCCCATCGGCCCCTTTTACCGCTCGGATTCTACCGCCGTCCGACCACCTTAGCTAGCGCCGCTACCCCAAAAACGATCATCTTGCTCCGATCAAAATCCGACCTATATTTTGTTGTAAACCCCCGTCGTTCGTTGTGGAGAGCCGTCGAAGAGTTCGAAGAAACCACCCCCGCGCGCTTTGGTTTTTCACTGATTACAGCTGAACCGGTGACCGGCAAAACACACCGCCTACACTATCGTGCTCCTCGTATCTTTCCGAACAAAACCCGGTAAAGATCGTCGCCTCACCCTCGTTGCTCCGTTCGGCCGCCGTGGGTAAGCCATTAGTCACTTTTATGGGTATTTCAATCATGATTTTCGCTTGGTTTGTAATTAATTTCATTATTTTTGGATGTATGGATTGGAGTAATCAAATGACCAACCGGACCTCTGTCGCCGTCGCACGCGCCGGCAGTGCGCGTGGGCTTCTTCCCTTGTCCTGGAAGCTTTTGGGCCGGTCCAACCGGTCTAGCTCAGCCCGAACCGATCAACCCGATCCACCTGTCTAACCCACTTGATCCGACCCGACCCAACCCGCCTGGTCCAGTCCAGTCACTGAGTCAACTCGTTAACTTTGATCGAGTCAACCTATTAATTGTTAACCGTTGATCGTTGACTGGTCTGACCGTAGACTTTGACTGGTCAGACTGTTGATTTTGACCGAAAAAGCCAAAATTTTCAAAAAGCCCTATTTTAAGTTTTTCGATGTCCTGAGTCCTAAGTCCGAATCCGAAGTCTGTTTTTCCAAATTCATATCCGATAAGTCATTTTTCAGTGATTTATCTTCGGATTCAATATGATTTCTCAATTAAGTTCAGTTTCTGACGTAAATTCGGTTGCTTTGTATCCAAGGAATTATTGGACGTTGAATTCAAGTTCAAGAGTGATCGAATGGAGATTAAATGTTCGATCGGTGGAACACAAAAATCGAGATAATACTCTACTACCTTTTGCATGCTTTCCGAAATACATTAATAATTGGTAAATGTGTTATGGAAATAATTGATCCATGAGATATAATTAATTATCATTTGACTCAAATTAAATTTGGAAATAAGACGGAACACTGTATAAGACTTAGAGGGCTCGTAAAAGAAATCGGTAGACTGATCGGTATCAAATCTAAGTTCACTAATTTAATTAGTAAATTAATCAATCTCGGGATGTGTAAATTCTGATTAATCTTTTTAAAGGTTAAATGTTGGAAATATTTGGATAAGAAACTACAAAAAAATAGCACTAAATGGTAAAATTACGAAAATGTCCTTGTACTATAAATGAACCAAGACATCTCATAGTAGTGAATAACCTCCAATGATCAATTGAACAAAGTACTCTGAACTCTAAAGAAACTAAAATATTTTCAAGCCTAAGTTATTAGAAGTGATGACACTGACATAGTTGAATGAAATAATGATAATACCCTTAAAGAGTAAAAATGACTATGCATGAATATGATAATGGAGACGGCTTGAGAACTTAAATTATGATCCACTTGAATATTGAGATCACGATTAAATTCCTGTTTTAGTTGGAATGCCCCTAGAGTGTAATATGATTTGAAGCATGTCCAAGCTCTAGAATAACTAAATATCCCCAACTCTGTAATGAACAAATCAACCTCGTATATTTTATGACCAAGTTAAACGGAATAGAAGTATTGTATGTATTCAAATTTCGGAAATAATAGAATTATTCTGGAAACTCTGAAGTGACCGGGATAGACTTAACTACTAAATGACCTAAGTAACCTCAATTACTTAGGATTAAGTGGATTACTTGGATAAGTCTGGAAACGCTGATGAACTTACATGATGTAATGTCCCTAAGGGTTATGGACCACGAATCAAGTACGTCGACATTTCCTGATGTTATTGCATTGTAGAAATGAAATAAAGACCACTGAAATATTTGTTCATCCTCCGAATAATATATGGAACCTCTAGTGTGTTCCCTGATCACATGTATGTTTTCTCTTTTTTCTGTTCTGATCTCTACTCCGATTTCTGATATCTGTTTACTGACTGAAATTATTGTTATACGAGGTATTATGGGACTCTGGTACGACTAAAGACTCTAGCAGGTTCAGTTGCTGCTGGTAATTCCTTGTATATGTTCAACACCGATTGATAATTCCTTATCTATGGTAGGTTCAGTTACTGCTGGTAATTCCTTGTATAGGTTCAGCACCTACTGGTAATTCCTTATGGACCTAAAGCGTCCCTTGGGTAGGCTCTGCGACCTTGAGAATCTTTCTTGGGTAAGTTCTCAGGCCCCCAAGGTGCCCCCTTAGGTTATACAGTTTTGGGGAGCTACATATGGCGTTCAGTTGGAGGGATTATTATGGTTTTTGAAAAATACGTTTTAAACTGCTACTGTTTTAAAAAGATCTATATCTTTTCACTAGTTTTGTGGGAATACACTAGACACTCTGTTATGATCTCGTGAACTCAGTCATCGGAAACATTTTCCTCTGAACTGAAAGTTTACCATCTTTTATTATCTGAGATATCAGTGGGACCTCAGCTCGCATAAAAGTTTGTAGATGTCTGAACCAATAAGGAAACATATGTTTATCTGTTATCTGCATATTCTTCAGCATCATATGGTAGTTCTGTATTACTGAGTTTTCCAAAGTTCACTCTGTTACTCACCTTGTTGAAAGGATTGAACCAGTGCAACTATCGACTTCAGTAAAGTTTCACCGACGTTACTTGTTAAGTACGGTGCATGTGATTAGGGGCATGTAGCTTGTATTTTATTTTTATATCCGAGCCTGGAATCTGTTTTATTTCTGAATATTGTTAAATTTTACTTTTGTGTTTATAAATTAATTTATTATTTTACATGTTTTAACAAAAAAATTAATATTTCCGAGATTTTTATAGTGGGTCGCTCTGATGACCCTAATGTGACACTCCGGATCGGATCGGGTCACCCGCATCAGTTTAAGGTGTTACAAATATACGAATGGTGTCAAGGCAATGAAGCATTTGAATAGGAATAGCCGCGAAAGCTCCAGTAATAGGGAAGGACCCTTCGGCAGGAGTATCAAGAGCAAACAAAGAATGAAAAAAAATGAGAAGCTTCACCCTTTAATGCCTCCTCATCGCTACACCACTCGCCATTATGAATTTTGAGAGTGGTAATTTTGTTTTTGTTTTTTTTTGTTTGCGACAAATCGCACGGCGATGAAAATAACGAGTGTTCCTGTCACCTAAAGAAATCCAATCCGAACGAGATTTTTGGCGCCAGATCAGCTCCTCTTGATCAAGAAGATGCTCAAGATCAATAAGAAGCTCACTTTCTAATGGAGGAACCGAGAAGTTTGGTTAAAAGGATTTTCTGAATGCCACGGAGACGAGCCATTATGATGCGCTTCTTCGTCTCAATGAAACCAAATACTGTTTTATTCCAGTTATCAGTAGCCTTCATAAAATGCAATATAGTTTCAGTCATACCTAAATTCTGAGACCAATTATCGTCAACCATGCGCGGAAAATCTTCATGGGCGAGCCAACCGGTGAAGTAACGAAAGGGCTAGAGGAGGTGATCTTCGAACAATTGCCAATCTGTAAGAGGATAGGTCGGTGATCAGAACGCAGACGAATCAAGTGATGAACAACAGAATCAGCAAAGGCTTCATCCCAATAACTATTACAGATAAAACGATCCAAGCGCACTTGGGAGTAACCTCTCAACCAAGTAAAGTCGGGACCATGATAACCCATGTCCCGCAAGCCATAGTCAAAAATAAGATTATGGAAGGCAATACTCGGCCTAGTCGAGCTTGCACAGTTCTTCATGTTAGACATAGATAATGTGGCATTAAATCACCAAAGAGGTAGAATTAGCAAGACGACGAAGATGCGGCCATAAAGTCTTGCGACGAGTACAAGAGGGACTAGCATAGATGACGGTAGCTAAAAAGGAGGAACCATCTCGATTGATAGTAACATGGCAATGAATAAACTGGAAATGGTGCATAATAATGTCAACAGAGATGGAATCATACCAAGTGAGCCAAATACCACCTGAGAAACCCATAGCCTCAACTAGGTCGGAATTTGGAATGCCAAGCGCAGAAATAACTGAGTCGGCTTTACTACCACTTGTGGTTCCACAAAAACAACCATGTCAGGTCTGTGATCACGTAAGAATGATTTGGCCACAGGAATGAAGCATTAATACGCACAGGCATGAACTTGGAAATTTCCTGATACTGTGAAAAAGTGTCATCATTAATACAGCGAAGCATTTTTGCTTTTTGACTGTCTTTTTTTGTACTACTTCCAAGGTTGCTGCAATGTTCAAAATTGGCAACAGTAAAGAACTTCCAACAATTCCAGATAGTCTTTCGGGTGAGGGAAAGGACTTTGTGAGGCAGTGTTTACAAAGGAATCCGTTACATCGCCCTAAAGGAACTTGGCTTCTAGAGCATCCTTTTGTGCGGCATCGCTGGAGAGACCCAGTTTCAGTGCTGATGCATCAGATCCATTACATGCAGTTACAAATGCAATGAGAACACTGGTATAGACATAATTAAAAGTTTCGTATATTTGATTTTGTTGATCAGTATCATCTGTTCAGGTTTTTACTGATTGCTGACTGCTGCATTCTGCTTTTCAATATCTCATTAGGGAATTGGAAATGCTAGAAATTTTCCATGCATAGGTACGGCTAGCCTTCCATGCAGCGCTTTAAAAACAGGATCAGGATCCAGGTCTATCTCTCTCTAAAACATGGATCCACTTGTTCACACATGCAAACAGCTGGTACTTGTAGGTGCAACTTAGACACGGGTGCCTAAAATTTGCATATGTTGGCCTATAAGGGGAAAAGTTGACATAAGAAACCGCTTTTCCAGCTATCACTTCCGTGGTAGTGACATGATAGTAGTCATAGATGGTTCAACATCCAATCAATATATAGAACAGTTTTTTTAACCTGATTCTAACTACATTTATATATTATAATGTATGTTGTTATTAGATGCTGTATTATGTTTTTATGAATTATTCTTGATGTATTGAATTGTATATACTTTCACAATTGCATTTTAGATAAAATGTGACTGCTACCAAGATTTTGACATGTCAGCAATATCTGCTATGATCTATATCTGATCATTATCATTTTGTGTTACAATGATTTTTATCGTCTAATTATTTATGCTCCATTGCAGTGATGTTCATACACCAAGGAACATGTCATGCCCAGTTTCTCCCCAGTGGCAGTCCTCTACTACATGCAAGGTCTCCGCAAAATTTTAGCGGAAGGATGTCTCCCTCTCCTATATCTAGCCCTCATGCCCTCTCTAGTTCATCCAATCCTCTTACTGGTGGCAATGGTGCCATTCCATTTCATCACCAAAAACAGCCAATGATCTACTTGCATGAAGGTATTGGAATAATCCCAAGGTCCCAAAATAATTTCTATGCAAATTCTAGCAACCCTTATCAAGAACACAAACCTGACATGTTTCGAGGGATTTCACAAGCTTCTAATGCTTCTCAAGAAATGATTTCATCAGATACTGGTGCTTTTGGAAAACAGTATGGATGGCCTGCGCATGGGGATCATAGGGAACTCTATGATGCACATCCAGTCTTGGCTGATCATGTGTCTCAGCAACTCTTGAGGGACCATGTGAAGTTGGAACCATCACAGGACCTTATAATCCAGATTCATCAATGCTAGGTCGTAATGGAGGAATCTAGTTTGCTCCAGAAATCTCTCAAGGGAGGGCCTCCAGGCATTGTAGATGCTTTTCAGTGCTAGGTGGTGGTTTCTTTCCTAAAAGTTTGGATTACAGTTTCAAATTTCCTCGGAGATAATACATGCTTTTCAAATTTAGCTGCATTCAAAACATTTCCAGTGGTGTCGAAGACTCTTTTGGTACGTATTTCACCATCATAGTAGGCAATCTATTGTCACTTGAGAGTAGACTGTGCAGAATGGAGGCGAAGTAAGTTCAAAACCAAACCCTCCTCTAGAGATCGACCGAAGCTGTTCCGACAATGAACATCTGCTAGTGTAAACTGAACTGTACATTTATTACACCCAAGAAACACATATAGTTAGAGAAGAGCTATTCTTTTGCAATTTTTCCCTCTACATTTTTTACAGGTTGATGAACAGTGGTTGGGGATTAAAGTTATGTACAGTACAGAAGGTGGGGGAACAAAAACCCAATACTAGGCTTTGTCAAGATGACTTTGTGGAAATTAGCTGAGACTGGTCTTTGTAATTTTATCTTTCTATATGGCAACTCAGCCTAAAACTTTAAAAAATATTGTCCCTTGTTCCCATATGTAATGGGATAAAGGAAGATAAGATAGTAACCTAAAACTTTGATGTATCTATATATCACTCTGCCACGGTTTTGTTAAACGATAATTTGACTTGCATTTACATTCCAACATTGGGATACGAACTGTGTTGGAAATTTGCTAGTCTGCCATATATTTCCTCATTATTTGATTTAGGTCCAATTTATCCAAAATTCAGACGGATTATGTAACCCCCAAACCCGAGCGATAGGGCCGAACCGGGTCTAAAGCGTCACATAATGTGATGAACTAACTAGGAAAGTTAGGAATTTTAGTCGAGAGAAAAGAGGTTTCAGAAAAAAGATAATTCATTCAATATTTAGATAATATAATTCATATTCACTAGATTGTTTCATATGATTACATTGTACCATCTTAGATAAAATTTTCAGCTGATAGTCCTTACCAAACTAACTTCAACAGCTGATTGTAGGTGTCTAGGGTATGACCTCCTCTCTACTTGCTGGGCCCTCCTCTTTAGGTGTGTTCTCTTGGCCTGTTGCACTAACAACTGGGCTCTTTGTATTAACCCTATTAACTGTCTCATGCCCCTCACATGTCCCATTTTCCCCAATTCCCTTAATCGAAATCCCTATTCTTTTGCCCTCTTTCTAGAAATCGCCCATAACCCTGAATAAATCGCCAATAATAATCCGTGAGGCCAATAAAACCCCTGTGAGACTTCAAATTCTTCGGTAGAGGCCAAGGGTCGGTAGATACTCCCTTTGAAGAAGCAATTCTTAGCAAAAGGTTGATTGTCCTTTAGGATCTGCAAAACCAGTCTCAAATGTCTTGCATGGACTGCCATGGTATCGTCAAAGAACACCAGGATAATTTTCTCAAAAAGACTAAATAGATCATTCATTTAAGGCTACAATGTATAAGGTGCATTGGTAAGGCCGAAAGGCATTACCTTCAATTCGAAAAGCCCATTGTGAGTTTGAAATGCAGTTTTGTAAGTGTCTTCAGCCTGAATTTGGATCTGTCAATAACCGGATCATAAATCTATCTTGAAAAAGTAGGCAGCACCATGTAATTCATCCGGTAGACCTTCTAATACCGGAATAGGATATTTATTATTGACAGTCTTAGTGTTCAAGTTCCTATAATCGACACACAAGCGCCAAGTATCATCTTTCTTTTTCTTTTCACTAAGAGGCAGGGAGATGCAAAAGGGCTGATGCTTGATTGAATAGTTGAGACAACTAACATATCAGAAATTTGCTTTTCAACTTCTACTTTTTGGTGATGTGAAAATCGATAAGGGCGGAGGTTCACCGAAGAAGATCCCAATTGAAGAATGATCCAATGGTAATGAACCCTTGTGGGTGGCATTTCTTGTGGTTCATCAAAGATGCTTTCAAATTTTGTAAATGATATAAAAATTTAAGAATGAGATCCAAAATTTTAATTTTATGTTTTTAAAAATAATGGATATACAAAAATTTTATTTTTTTCTTTTTTCCTTAATATATTAAATCAAATTTAATTATTTTTCTAAAATAACAAGGGCTGGCTAAGTGCATCCGCCACTGATAGTGGTTGCAACTCTAGTGGAACAGTAGCGTTTATGTTCTGTCCACCTAATAAGTAAATTTCACCTAGAAAATCAGGATCTTTTATAGTATCCTTTGCATCTTAGCCTCTGAAACTGTTTTAAAGGATATTGTTGGCCATGGATTGAAATTTGCTGTCCATTGTTTCGAACTCAAAGTCATTTCCTTAAAATCTGGCATAATGGGGCTGAATTAATGCTATCTGCCATCGATTGTTTCTTTTTTGGATTATCCAGCTTGCTAGAAACGCTGGCTCTCGATACCAATTTGTGATGAACTCACTAGGAAACGTTGGCTCCTTAAAATCATTATTTAAATTATAATTTTATCCTTAGTAACATAAATTTTTCCTACCAAAGACATCCCAACTTCCATCCTTCCATCAAACATAGCCTAAATGTCGAGTAAATTTTGTCTTATCAATGTCGAGGGGAGAAAATAGATAAAAGAGAAAGAATCCTTGATTAATAAACGGAAATACAGCACAACTCTAGCATAATTTACACACATCAACTCAAAATGCAAACCAAACAAGGCAAAGAACAAGTAGAAGATCCAAGATCAATCATCATTTCAAGCTCTGGTCTTGAAAGGAATAGCCCTGATAATTATCTGGTGATAAATTGCAGCAAGAGCGGCTCCAATGAAAGGGCCAACCCAGAAGATCCACTGCAAGCAAACATGCATTTTAGTCCATCTCTAACAAAGCAAAAACTAAGAAAGTTTGGGGACTGAAGAATGATACTAACATGGTCATCCCATGCGTGGTCTTTGTTGTATATTATGGCAGCTCCAAGACTCCTGGCTGGGTTGATACCAGTTCCGGTGATGGGAATGGTGGCTAAATGTACCAAGAATACTGCGAACCCTATGGGAAGGGGAGCTAAAATCTGCAGTGTAGTGACAAGAAATTCATTAGTAATGCATAACTCCATCTACACTTTGAACATCAACAGTAGCATGCACTAAAAGGCAAGAAAACAACACACATACAGGAACATGAGAGTCTCTGGCGTTTCTCTTGGCATCAGTAGCAGAGAAAACAGTGTAGACAAGAACAAAAGTGCCGATGATCTCAGCACCAAGACCTGATCCCTTGGTGTAGCCATGGGCCACAACGTTAGCTCCACCACCCAACATCTGATATCGACCGTCTCCTTGGAACCCCTTCACCACACCGGCTCCACAGATGGCACCAAGGCACTGCATGACTATGTAGAACACCGCCCTTGCAAGGGAGAGTTTCCTTGCTAGTAACAGCCCAAAGGTCACAGCTGGGTTGATGTGACCACCTGAAGTTCAATAACACACTCAGATCTGGTTGTTAAACACATTTAACATGCAAGAAAACGTTCAAATTTTGTCCTTGGCCAAAGAAAAAAAACAAAGCCAAAATCTTTAACAGCAAACTAGAAACTAAAATTTAAAGGTAGGTGACCTGAAATTCCAGCAGTACAGTAGACAAGAGCAAAGATCATGCCCCCAAAGGCCCAAGCAATGCCTTGAATGCCAACGGTGGTACATTTGGTCTTAGACTGGGAAACACCCATTACAGTCAAGATGGTGATGTAAAGGAACAAGAAGGTGGCCATAAACTCCGCAATACCAGCTCTGTAGAAAGACCATGACTTGAGTTCACCAGGCTCAAACAAAGATGCCGGTGGTGGTTCCTTGTAATCCTTGTCTGTCTGAGCTGATGTCCCAATTGGTTGTCTCTCTGAGAACTTGTTTGCTCCTAACTTAACATCCTCCTCTTTCCCCTCCATCTTCTTTCACCACTCAATAACCAAAGATCGAAGCTTTTTTTTCTTCTTCTTCTCTCTCGCTCTCTCTCAAGAAACCCAAGCCAAAGTTGTGAAGATAAGATAAAGCTGAAGAATATACGGTGCCTTTTATAGATGGGATAATGTAGCGATTATAGTGGATATATTGGCTTTTCAACGGAAATTTTTCCTTAAAAAATCATTTCTCAATGTAATACATTTTATGATTAATCCTTAAAATAATTTCATTTTTTGTTATATAATATTTTGTCCAATCAATCGTATCTTTTATAAATAATTAATATCAAAATATTATTTTATCAATGAAATAAAGATGTGTCTTAGGAAGCACTTCTTTAAGAGTCACGCTTTTACAACACGTTTCTTTCAAATTATCAATTTTTTTATCCATTAATTATATTTTTTTGTTTAGCAAAAGAAATACTATGAACTACGCTATTCTACATTTCTTCTTATGGAATATGACTTCCTCGTCCTCTGGTGTTTGCTGAAATTCATGCAGGCCATGAGATTGGTTTCATGCAAGTTTGGCGAGGGAATCTGCTAGTTTATTACTTTCACTTGATATATGTATAGCTCTCACGTCCTAATCCTTCTCGAGCATATGATGTATATATTGGACAATGGTTAGGTTCCTGCTATTACCTAACCTCTCTTGTATTAGTCTGATGGCTTCCTTGCTGTCAGTTTCGAGCTATACTTGTCTCTGCCTAAGTTTCCAAGCCATCTGGAGTCCCTCGATGATTCCCCAGAGTTCGGCTTCCAATACCAAGCAGATGCCAATTTTCTTTGCATACCATAATACCCAGTTTCCTGTATCATCTCTTGTTACACCTCCACATGTTGTTTCCCCTGAAGAGTTCTTCCGTGTACCATCTGTGTTAAGTTTTTTCCAAGGGGCATAGGGTGCTTTCCATTTCTTTTCTCTTTCTCTGAGTTTGATCCTTCTGCGTGGTTTTAAGGTTCATGGAGTTAAAAAAATTCTTTTGTCAGTCTTATTTTCTTTTCAAAAGTTGATTCCTTGTCGCATCCCTCCTAGTCGAAAATGGTTTTGTTTCTTCTGTCCCATAATGCCCATACGGTGGTTCCAAAGAAAGTTGGCCAGTAATATCCCCAAATCAGGGCTAGTGGCTAAAGTGAGAATTTTGAAAGTTTTGTGCTCAATTTAGAAATCAGTTAAAAGTTTAGGGACTTAAGTAAGGAAATTTTAAGGATGGATTAAATAGCATAAATGGATGAATTAAAGGGGTATTTTGGCCTTTTATGCTTAAAGGATATTTTTCCCCTTTAAATAAGGGTTAAACACGTGGGTTTGTGAGAATTCTTGAAGCCTTCTTCTTACTCTATTCTTCTCCTTCCCGTAGCTCAACTTTAAAAGGTAAGTTTGATTTTAGTGTTGAATTCTTGAATTTATAAGTGGGTTTTGATTATTTGAGTGTTATATAAGCTTAAGGAAAGCTTATATGAACTTAAATCATCAAGTAAAGAGAATAAGAAGAGAAATTCTATTATGGATTTAGAAATGAACTTTTGATATAAAGTGGTTTTTAAAGTTGTAATGAAGAATTTGACTTGTCAGTAGTT